GTCATCACAGCCGGGAACAGAAGCCCCACCTCTGTCGTCCGCAGAAAACAATACGAGACCTTCGGCGGTACCTATCCCGAGCATCCGAGCATCCGGGAAGAAACGATCGGGAAGTATGTTTGGCATCCCTGCGCGCGCCTACCCTAGAGCAAGAACGGAGGCGGGGGGCACTGATGGTAGAGCACGTGCAGAATAAACGCACACTGAAAACAAACAAACAAAAGCAATGCGTGTACGACGTCGGGCCGATATCCGCCGCGGACGAGGACGCCGCCGCTGCCAGCTCCCTGTTCTACAAGAGTGACAAGCAGGGAGAGTTGGTTTCGGTATACGAAAAGAGGAAGCAGGCGGGCGAGGAGTCGTACAGTGTTGTGTCTGTGCGCTTGACGGAGCAGCTGGAACAGGTAAAGTCTGTGGTGGGGGCGTGGACGGCGTTGGACGAGGCTTTACAGCGATGCACTGGCAGTGGCAACCCGCAGGGGACGTTGGGCGCGCGTTATGCTCCCCTCCTCACTGAGGGGCTGCTTGGCTTTTTGTCCAGCAAGCTGGACCGGACCGCGTGGAAGGACGAGTACCGCGGCGTGAATGCAACTGCTCACGGGGCAGCGTCGAGCGCGGCGGGGGGTGTGACGTTCAGCGGCGCCGGGGCGGAGTGGCCCGTGGGGAAACTGGGGCAGAACCAGCCGTACTACTTTGCGAACAACAAGTTCGCTCTCGCGGCGACGGTGGCGATCCACGCGGTGCCGGAGAAGGAAGACACTCTTCTGCTGGGGGCGAGGATGGATGGCGCAGCCAACACTGTGCTCTTTGGCCTGTCGTACACGAGCAAGAGGAAGTGGAAAGCCAAACTTGATAATGCTGCTGCCGAGGAGCATGCTGAGGCGTGGGCACCAGTCACGGCAGTTCAAGTGGCGCTGCAAATGGATTGGGACGATTGGTCTTTGTACATTGGTAGGCAGAGGATTTGCGGAACGAAGTACAGTGGCGCTCTGTTCAACTCACACCGGATAACGCACTTCCTTTTCGGCATGGATGGCACGCACGCGGCTGCGGGCAGCCCCAACGTGACGGTGGCGAACGTCCTGTTGTACAGCCGCGTGCTGGGCGCGGGTGAGCTGCAGCGACTGCAACTCGGCAGCTGCACGATTCCGCCGC